GTTTGACATAGCAGTAGTAGCAGTGATCTCAGCAACAGCAGAGTTCTATTAGTTTTGTTGAAACTTCACAGTTGTCAGCCTGCTGTGTTAAAGGAATACCCCACTAATGTCCCTACAGTGAGAAGGGCGAGCGGATGAAGACAAGCAGGGACAAAACAAATGGGAAGGAGCTAAGGGTACTGTGCAGGTGGCTAAGATGTGATGATAGCTGGGGGATGACACTGGGGATCTTGAAGTAGGAGAGTAAAGGAGGCACTGGATGCAGATCCACGGGAAAGCAAGCTGCTTTCACTCTGCCCGCTCTGAACAATTAGTGTAAATGGAATATACAACCAGAGGACTAGTCCCTTCCTGCCTTTGTTTCTGCCTCATACACAGAATATGTCTCTAAGGCCCAGCAGTTGATGACATTTGAAAATATCACACTGTGCTGGAACACTTTATATTTATGCCTCTGTTGAAAGCAAAGTTGTATCTCAAAGTCCCTAGAACCCACCATTATTTTCCAATTGCCAAAGCACGACTTTTTGATGAGGGCAGAGTAAGTCAGCCAGCATACCCTTCTCTCCTAAGTCCAGCCAAAAGCTGCTTAACACATCAGTCTTTGTCCTATAAATCCTACAACCAATTTCCCCTTTCTCCCCCCTTTAGGAAGGACAGAGTAATGAAGGTTACAGAAACCTGACAGTTATTAACAGGGATAAACATGATACTCCTGACCCTAACCGCAGTTACTGAATGAGATGCGTGTGCATGCCTCCCAGCACACACACGTGTGCGGACATCACAGGACTCAGATTTTCCTGGCAAGCTGTCTGCTGCTGGCAAGACGATGCAGTAAAACTGCTGGCACCAATATGCTGAGCTGAGAACGAACACAGGCCAGCAAAGTCAAAGTGAAATTAGGTTTCAAAGATTCCAGTCTTAATTTTCCCCTAGAAAAGAGTAATTTTCGTCATTGTTTCCATAGCCATAACATGTGTTCTTGACAAGGGATCTGAAGCTGTTTCTACACTCAGTCATTTTATGTTGGTTACGTTCTGTTTGGAGGCAGATACTGGCTTTGGTCAGTGTAGATTGAAGCTTTTTTGCATGATGCATCTCCAAGGTGATGAATTCTGTCACACTTAGGAGATAAACGGCAATCTTGAGTCGCACAAAGCACACAGCCAACATTAACTAAACATAAAAATAAAGCATTTTTTTAAATTTAATTTTGATATTGCCAAAAACTGTTGCATTTTTATGGTGCTATGAAAGAAACCTCTGTATAAACCAAGATGTTTTCATTTAGGGGCAATCTCTTGGGTTACTTACATTGCCAGATCCTACTTAGGTGCCTAAATAATAGCTGATTGCAAATATTTTCTTGAGTATAGTTCTTAAAGCCTAATCTCTGCCAGCATGAAGCTGAGGGTTATAGAAAAGCATCCTCTAACTTCTTTTCTTCTTAGAAAACTAAACCACCACCAGTTACAGAAAGCCCAGGATTTCTGGGAAAGTTTCCCAGAGCTGCAAGCTAACAATGCCTGAAGCAGTCACTGCCACATTCTACACCATGGAATTTTTTCCCTTACAGGCTGGCTGATGTAATGGTGTGCTTCATTAATAAAATTTTTCTGTGCTTACACTTCCCACAGAACCATCCTATGAAAAGAAAATCATCACTGGTGTTTGACAAAAAAGGAATATTTACTTCTTAATGGTGTGGTCATTCTCACGCATTTTCATGCCTTCTCTGTACTTCTCTTCATGGAAGTGTATGCGACTATCCTATCTATCAATTAGGTCAGAAGTGGAGATGACTGCTAGGAATTATGACAGAGGTGGTGTTTATTGATTCTGTACTTCATGTGATAAGCAGTGTGTTTAATATGAAAACCATCTGTACATCAAGAAGGAGACAAGAAACTGTAATACATAGTGCTGAATGCTTATTTTGCTCTTTGACGGATCTCTAATTAACTTACTTTTCTTAACTGTTTGCCAAAGAGATATGCAATGCCTCTTCCTAAAAAAACATAAAACAGAGAAGAGAGATGATACAAAGAAGGAGCACACCCCCTCTTTCAAGGACAGGTTTGCATCTGCAGTCAAACCAATGAATGGCAGAACTAATTGTTCAACTTAAAGAAGAAAGAATTGATGGCACTTATAACAGTCCACAGACATTTCCTACGAAAAAAGCAATCATCTGTTTTCCATGTTCACAGCAGATAAGAGAAGCAGCAAGGGGCTTCTTATAGAGCAAGGGAATCTCTGGTGAGATAGCTGAAAAAAAAATCTAGGCAAGTTCAATACTGGGACAGAAATTCTGTGGAGGTTACAGAATCCCCATTATCAGAAGATTTTAAGGGGCACACTTGACAAGTATCTGTCACAAAAGAAACAGGCAATGCTAATTCAACTCTAGACAGGATGACTGATTCATTTCCATGCTAGTTCTTCTGAATTCCAGATTCCATCACTTTTAGTATGTGCTGTCGTGTGCTGGAAACAGGATACAGAAAGATGCCTAAGAATGATGCAGACTGATGAGTTCATTGTTGTTTTCCTTCCTGTTGGAATACAATTCTAAAAGCTGGTTCCACAACTTTTAAGAAATACAATGCAGATAATAGGAATCATACCAAGCATGCAGATACCATTTACAAAAGCAAACCAGACATTTCTGGAGCATAGTTCATTCAAACTGTTTTAAACCCTTACCGTCAACTGAATCAATCATTTACCACCTACTGTATCAATAGGTCTACTTACCAAGCAAGGAACCTGCTGGGATGGGCTCAGCTGCTTCTCTCAGCGTAAATTACTTAGTTCTAACTAAGATTAATCCCAGTGTAGGCAGATTGAATTTTCAATTTCAAAAAACCCTGCCACTATTATCAGGAGCTCTGAACCTAAACTATAGAAATAAGGCATTCTTCCTGAATGAAAGTAATTCCCTCTGTCCCGAGAGCCCAGAACACCTTGATTATTTATTTAGTTTCTGTCCCTTTCTTTACCACTTTCAAGTTCTGCTTTTTACTACTCCTTAAGCTGCAACACCACAACTGCTACTGTCATCACCCAGCTGAAAATGGTAAACTCTGGAGGGATGCAGATACAGAAACTAGAGTTTTTCAGAGAATCAGAGAAGCTTTCTCTGTTCTACACAGTCAGACAGCACTCAGTAATAATTTCAGTGTTCTCAGGTTAACTGTGAGAAACATACAGACATGCACTGTGATCACACAATCTTCATTTGCCAAGCAAAACAAGCTAAGAACTCGGTTGCTTCTTTTATTCTCCCTCCAAATCTTGCTCCTATCTCAGGGAAGACTGAATTGATACATACTAGTTGATATGCCAGCTATTAATGGCAAGCAACCTAAACAAATTGTCTTGATTCCAAAATTTCCCAAAAACATGGAACAACAATGATGTGCACTTCGCAAAGAAATCAGAAACAGTCTCATATTTTTCTCTTTCTTAGCTCCAGTGGTCAAAACAGTTGATGTTCACTAGAAAAGCAAACACAACACGTTGCTGAAGTTCTATTTCCAGTCAATACTTTCAGCTAATTTCTTTTTCTTTCAATTCAGCATAATGTGAGTTTAAGCGGAAATTTTCCAGAAAAAGATACTGCTTACTGACAGAGATAATGATATGTCAAACAAACAAAGACTAAGCAGAGTCAGGATATGACTACACTTTGACACTCTAACTCCAAAAAAGAACAAGTTACTTGATTCAGATAAATCTGTTACCAGTACTTCTTGAGTCAGCTCTGACACAAGCTGCCACAGGATGCAGTGAGGAGACACTGGGCAGTTATAAGAGCCATCTTTTAGGTACTGAATCCAGACTATGTAGTCTATTACATAGCTCCCCACTTCTGTAAGGCAAAGACTGCAAAGACATTCCCACCTGATGCACAAGTAAGTTCCCCCTACATTTCTAATTTCTGTCCTAAAGACAGCTGATGTACTTTTTCATTGACTTACAATAGAGGAAACCACTGCAATTTCATTATTTTAAAGAGCAAGGAAGTTCCTAGAGAAATATGAGACGTGTGTTTGCTTCTGCCTGTGACTGATAAAAAATGTCCTTCCCTTGATCAGTAGCAAAGATACCTGTTTTTACAGGCACTATGTGCTCAAACAGGAGGTGTGCACAAGCTGGCTTCTTTTGCCCCTACGCAAGTTAACGGATCATTTATTTGCAGCCAAACCATGTAGCCTTCCACCTTCAGGCAGGATGGCTATGAAGCAGCTACTGTTGTAACAATTTTTTTTCTGATTCATGTCAACTTTTCTTTGAAGCCTTTGATATTTTGAAAAGAAACAGAGAATTTGGTAACAGTGCATTACAGACATTCAAGCCTGAGAAAGAACAGGGAAATTAAAACCTTTACGGGGTCTTGTTCTATACAAAAAATAAACTCAAGTTAAATGGCAGCTGTTTGTTTTTAAAAGCAAAAGGCTTAGATTTTCTTTTCTGACTATTACCGTTCATAACTTATGAATAGTGTTTATAACAAAGTTAGCTGCAAATAAAGTGTATTTTACTTAAAGGATTATGTATATCAAATAAATCATTCTTACAGCCAGCCTCTGAGAAACACAGAATTCCCAGAACTTTCTCAGATGACTTCATCTACGTTTGCTAATTACATTTATCTTTCATACACTACCTGTGAAGCACTACCTAAATCTCAATTATTAGAATTGTGAGTTGAGCAACTGTGACAAAGTACAGTAGATACAAAAGCAGTTAGAAAGACTTTGTGAAATAGGAGTTAGTACAGGAATTAGTATTTCCTTTATGTTGCATGAGCAGCTTTGTAGCTTTAAAGTTGCTTTCAGTTACCTCTTATTTTCAAGTATTTGGAATTCAAAGAAAAAAATATTTATTTTTTATGAAATCAAAATAGGTGATTCAATTTTGCCTTGGTTAGCATGATATAAAAAGCTCTCTTTTACTCTGGTTGTAAAAGTTTTTAAGATACATCCTCTTACCACTTTCATCCAGCAAGAAATCATCCTGGTAACGGAACTTTTCCGGTCCACATGCAATAAAAATGTCATCATCACCGAAGAAATCCTGAAGGCACATCACCTGTAAGCAAAAAGGAAAGGAAGGCATTGTATGAAATATCTCATCACTGGAGTTGTAAAAACAATAAATCCCTCCTTGTCTCCATCTGCATGAAAACGCTTCACTTTTAATGGAATCAACAGGGCTTCATCTCCAGATAAATTTCAAAGCTGTGCTCTGACCATCTGTTACAAGTGAGAAACACTTTTATGGACATGCAGGAAGAGAGAGATAAGACAAAAAGCCCTAACGTCACATTTATTACATGATGCATCAATGGGATATGAGGTAAATGCCTTCTGATTACGCATAAGGTCCCATTCAGTTGTTAGTGGATAATCAATTTGCTCTTGCGACCGCATTTCTACTCGTTGACAGCCACGAATATAGGTAATGGTTTTGGATGCAATATGTAATTATTTCTGCAAAATCTCGCTGACAAGGAATGAAACTCATACGGGTGAACCGAGTCTCCATCAAACATTCCTCATCTCTGTCAGCAGTCAGTGTAATTTTTCTTCATTGGCACCAATCTGAACAATCAGGTGAGCTGGAATTGAGGAAAAGGATCATCTTTTTCTGCTCCCAAATGTGAATAACCAGGGTTAGGTTGGTGCAGTTTTATGCTCATGCGTGAGATTTTCTTACAGTACTTCACCAGGCACTATTTAAAAGTTTAAGATTTCTATTTATATGACTATTTTTACTGATGTTCTTAAAAGAATAATCAGTAGCTTTCCACTAATCTATGGACTTACTGATACAGTTTTGAAAAATTAAAAAAATATATTAGACATCTGATTACTTTTAAAAAAACAAATATACTTTGTAAACAGTATTACGTACTGTTCCTCTTTCACATTTATAAGACAATTTTAAAAGGTTATATTTGCTTACATGGATGTGATGTTATAATGTTTTGCAATTAAATAATACACTAATGTTTGAACAGATAAATTTCACAGTTTCATGTCAAGAGCACACAGACAGGAAATTAACACATAAAGCATTTACAAAATTGTCAAAATATCTGAGAACAGTCCAGCTGAAGCAGTTCGTCCCCCTCATTTAAAGCAAAGACAAAGTCAGTATTTGAAGCCTACAAAAACAGAAGTGAAAGAATTAGCTAATGAGGCCAGACAGGCTTCTCCTGACTTCAGCATGAAAACAAAACACACACCATCACCACTTCCCAACCTCCAGCCACGGGTAATGGAGGGGCTATAAAATTCACATCATGCTTCCCAGACGTATGCCAGAAGGCTCTGGCATCTGCAGCAGCTATGAGTCTGAATGCTAGGAAAATCTTAACAAAGAAAAATAGTAATACATGTTGTGACTTGCTAGCAGAGTAAGACTTGTCATTAAAACTATTTTAACGGTAGAGAAATAGAGAAATAGCAGCTGAAAAATGAGAAAATCAAGAGCAGAACTGACTGAAATAAATGCCAGAGAAGAGGGAAAAGTATTCTCAAAATTGCTCTGTTCTTAAGCAATGCACATCATTTTAAATGCAGGTCCACCACAGCCCTGTCCCTACCAACATTCTTCTGTACACACCATATGGTATTTGAACACTAGCATCAAATATGTAAATATTTCATGGATCTTTTTTCCATGTTCCTACTCAGTTTCTGTTCTATTAGTGTATCAGCCTCAGCAACCTTTTTATATACTCACTTAGTTCCCATCTTCTTTTTTTTTTTTTGTCCACAAGACATATCTTGCCTGTCTTCCTACCCCATACACCCACCAAGTTTCAAACATCTCTTCCCTTCAATCAAGTTCCTCTGAAATTACCACCTCTCCCACGTGCACAAAGCCACTAATTTTCAAAATGACAATAAAAATCCAACGATTTCCTGTTTGCATCCCAAGTTTGACACGTTTCTAGGGAGCAGTGATCTTCACGTTTGTTTTTACACTAAGCAGAGCACTAGAACTGAACAAACAGTAAGTAACCCAAAGCACAATGTTGAGCTATTTTAGTGTGAATTAAAATTAAATTCTTATTTGGAAACTGTACAGATTAAAAAAAATAAACAAAAAAATACTCTGTTCAGAGGGTTTCATTCAAGTCAAAACAAGCCATTAAAACGGATGTACTGAAATCTACACAGGTTAACACTTAAAGCATCTAGGGTTTAATCAGTGCAATTCATATGCAACTAAGAAAATAAAATTAGCTCAGCAGAAAAATAATTTGTACTTAAATATACTTGTTTTATTTAATAACAGAATGGCTTAGGTTGGAAAGGACCCTTAAAAGCATTCAGTTCCAACCCCTCCTGCTAGAGGCAGGGACACCTCCCTCTAGACCAGGTTGCTCAAAGCCCCAACGAGCCTAGCCTTGAATGCTTCCATGGAGGGGGCATCCACAGCCTCTCTGGGTAACCTGTCCCAGTGTCTCACCACCCTCACAGTAAAGAATTTTGTCCTAATACCTAGTCTAAATCTACCCTCTTCAAGTTTAAAACTATTTCTCCTTCTCCTGCTACTATACACCCTTATAAAAAGTCCCTCCCCAGTCCCCTTCAGGTACTAGTAGGCCACTACAGGGTCCTTCTTCTGTTGGGGTTCCCAGAAATTGACGTAATACTCCAGGTGGGCTCTCACAAGAGCAGAGTAGAGGGGCAGAATCACCTCCCTCAACCTGCTGCTCATGCTTCTCTTGATGCAACCCAGGACACAGTTGGCCTTCTGGGCTGCCAGTGCCCATTGCCAGCTCATGCTGAATCTTTCATTAACCAACAACCACAAATCCTTCTCCTGAGGGCAGCTCTCAAGCCATTCTCTGGCCAGCCTGTATCTATGCTTGTGACTGCCCCAATCCAGATTCAAATCCTTGCACTTGATGTTTCTGAACTTCATGAGGTTAGCATGGGCCCACCTCTCAAGCTTGTCTAGGTCCCTGTGGATGGCATCCCTTCCCTCTGGAGCGTCAACTGCACCATTCAGCTCTGTGTTGTCTGCAAACACGCTGAGGGTGCAATCGATCCCTGTCCATGTCACCTACAAAGGTATTAAAGAGCAACGGACCCAGCACCAATCTCTAAGGAACATTAATCATCACCAGTCTCCACCTGGACACTGTGTTGCTGACTGCAACTCTCTGAGTGCAACCATCCAGTCAATTCCTTATCCAGTGAGTGGTTCACACACCACAGCCATTCTTCTCCAATTTGGCAACTACGATGTCATGTGGGACAGTGTCAAGTTCAGGTAGATGACACTGTTACTCTTTCTTTATGCACTGACTCTGTAATTCTATTATAAATGGCCACTAAGTTTGTCAGGCTTTATGAACTGCCCTTGGAAGCCATGCTGGTTACCACCAGTCACCTCAACTTTATTTTCCACGTGCCTTAGTAGGGTCCTCAGGAGGATCTGTTCCATGGTTGTGCCAGGCACAGAGGCTTATTGAAAAGAAAGCTTCCCCTTTTCCAGTCATGGGAACTACACCAGACTGCCATGATCTTTCAAATATGATGAACAGCAGCTTGGCAACTTCTTCCACCAGTTCCCTCAGGATCCATGCATGGATCTCGTTGGGTCCCATGGACTTGTGCACCTTAAGGTTCTTTAGATCGTCTCAAACCTGATCTCACTTACAGAGCCAAAACTTCCTTCTTCCAGTTCTTACCTTTGCTTTCTGCAACCTGGGCAGTTTGGCTAGAGACTTTGCAAAAAGGCAAAGGAATTGTTGAGCATCTCAGCTTTCTCTGTATCCCTCGTGACTAGGTCTCCAGTTTCCTTCCACAGAGGGCCCCTATCTTCCCTAGTCTTCCTTCTGTAATTGATATACCTGTACAATTTCTTCTTGATCTTCTTTATGTGCCTGGCTAGATGTAATTCTATCTGGGTTTTAGCTTTCCTAACCTGATCCCTGGATGCTCCCTGGACAACTTCTTTGTATTCCTCCCAGGTAGCCTGTTCCTGCTTCCACTACCTACAGAATTTCCTTTTGTGCTGAAATAAGTCCAGGAGCTCCTTGTTGATCCATGGAGGCCCCTTGGCATTCTTGCCCACCTCCCTCTTTCCCAGGATGCACTCAAACTTTACTTTTTAAAGTTTATCATTCTTCTTGGCTCAACATATTGTATTCATTTGGGGAATTAAAATTCCCGTACATAACTGTCTGCCGCCTCATCTGCAGCATTTTCCATCGTTTCTGTCACAACATCCCTGGCCTGTTTTGCTCTCCAGCTCCTTGCAGGTTACACTTCAGGGCTTTTTCAGAAGATACCGAACAAATACACAGCACACACCTTCAGGCTTTTTCACCAGAAATCTGCAAGTACTTTCTATTCACACTCAGCATCAAAGTAAGCAGCAGGACCTGCTTTTTATTACCTGTTTTCACTTCTGAAAATCACAGCTCCTCAAAATATACAGTTACGAAGATCAAGGATTTGCATCACCTGTTTTGAACCATGACAGTGCTCTAGAGGTCAGTGTGCTCTGTTGCATGTGATCAGCTTTCATATTAGTCAATGCTTTAAGAAGTATATTACAAAAGCCTCCCCAAACATTTCTGTTGTTTCCAAGTTACACAATCCTTCTCCTTTCACGTAAAGATTATTTTTTTCCTTCCATATTCCAGCAGGATGATTCTCACAGTGAGGAAAACAAAGTGTGCAGGAGCAGTCAGACATACAACTTCAGTAAAATGAAACTGAAAAACAGACGTTTCCCTCACACAACTAGTGCTGTGCAGTGATACCCCAACACTTGTACACAAACAACCTGCTGGCATCTCTCTAACAGAAAGCATTGCTAACAGTAAAATACCAGAGAACAATCAGTCTCAGGCTCTACAATTCCTCAAGTGACAAAATAGAAGGCAGCAGCCACAAAGAATACTGGTCACCAAAGTAGGCACTGGGCAATATGCAAGTCATATGAAAAAGGCTAGCTGAGCAGTACATACCAGCAGTACATACCAGCTGCAAAACGGAGCGAGGCAGAAGAAATTTTAATTGCTGCACTTACCTGAGAAAGTTTTATGGGCTGAAGCCTGG